TTGATTTTATTGATTGTGTATATTGTTGTTTTGGTTTTATTTTGCTGTAATGTACTATTGAGCTTGGCCTCTTGTAAGCTGCTCCGAGTCCCCTTTGGGGAGATGGTGGTAGGGTATAAATAAAGATTATTATTATTATTATTATTATTATTATTATTATTATTACTGAAATAAAAAGCATTATTTCTAGGGTAGGGTAAAGAGTTAACTTTGTTTGTGTTGAGAATGTTTCCTATGCAACAAAGCTTCTTGTGTTTAGAATAATAATAACCTCCCAGATGATCCTTAAGTCATGTCAGGGGCCAAAGTGTGCCTAGGACTCTTAGGAGAGCAAGGAGGTGTCATCATAGATGTCTATGACCCAGTCTACTAGGCAGATCTTTGAAGCATGGTTTGGAAGAGTTTGTCATCCATGTTCTTAAGGTAAAGGCAAAGGTTTCACTTGACATTAAGTCTAGTCGTGTCCAACTCTGGATGGTGGTGCTGATCTCAATTTCTAAGCCGAAGAACCAGTGTTGTCCGTAGACACCTCCAAGGTCATGTGGCCAGCATGATGCATGGAGCACCGTTATCTTCCCGCCAGAGTGGTACCTATTGATCTACTCATATTTGCATGTTTTCAAGCTGCTAGGTTGGCAGAAACTGGGGCTAACAGTGGAAGCTCACACCACTCCCCGGATATGAACCACCAACCTTTCAATCAGCAAGTTCCTTTCCCTCCCTTTGTTTTCTTTCTTTCTTACCTTCCTTCCCCTCATGCACACATCACATAGCAGTAGCCAACCTGCTTCACTCCCTTTCTTTCCCAGAGGCATGGCAGAGGGCCACTTCACCTTGTAACAGTCAATCAGCTTTGCTCCCTTGCTTTTCCTATGCTCTGGGCCTGAAATGGGTGGTTCTTTTAGCTCAAACTCCACAAATGTTTTAAGTTGGTTCATGAAGACTATGCGTGCCAAGTTTGGTCCAGATCCATCAAGCTATGTATGAGCTTTGCTGAACCACATATCTTCTGTGATACTTTCTGAAGAGGCTGTTGCATTTTCCCTTGAATATAAAGTACTGAAATTGACGAAGTGGGAAGTCAGAATGATTCTCCCTGTGCACCCAAAACGAAATCTAGAACAACATAGTTTCCATTTGGTCAGGGTGTTTGGGGGTTAAAGAGTTCCCAAATGCCAAATTGCTGAGGTTGGTGAGGACTGTATATCTTTGGTTGCCACTTAATCTGCCCCCCTCCCCCCCCCCTTTTTTTTTTTTTTTTTTTTGTAATGTCAGGAGGGACCTGAGAAACTGCTAGTCGCTTCTGGTTTCTCTCGTGTCCTCGCATGAGGAGCTGGAGCTATAGACGGAGCTCATCTGCGCTCTCCCTGGATTCGAACCTATGACCTATCAGTGGCACAGTGGGTTTAACTCACTGTGCCACCAGGGGCTGTAAATATGGAAATGGCTGCTAGTGAAACCAATCTGAAGGTTTTAAGAAAAACAAAAACAATTTTGCCTGCTTTCATTTAAAGTTTTTGATGTGTGCCTTCAAGCTGTCTCTGACATGTTGAGATCTGAAGACGAACCTATCACAGGATTTTCTCAACAAGTTTGTTTCTGAGAGGGGTTTGCTTTTGCAAAGGCTGAGAGAGCAAGACTTGTCCAAGGTCACCCGGTGGGTTTTTCCATGGCTGAGTGGGATATTGTGCCCTAGTCTTCAGAGCCACCGCTCAACCAAGAACACAAATCCCAGTTGCTCCCAGTATGCCCTGTCAAAATGCCTCAAGTGTTAGCACTTTGGCCAACAGTTGTGGTTCTGGTTTTACACTAAACAGAAAAGAAAATAAAGAGTAAAGAAAAGTTTAAATGCTTGTGTTAAGTACATAAATGCTGTAAACATCCAATGTGTGGTTACCACTTGCACACAAGCTAACAAAATGTTCAGTAAAGGATAAAGATATATTCTTTTAAAAAATGGGGAAGGCCCTGAAAATTAGTCCTTTCCAGGAAAGGCATGAAATACTTACTATCTGAAACTGCACACGGAGGAGGGTCCAGGGCAAGGAATCCATGAGAGGGAGACGTGTGGGGAAGAGTCCAAAACACCCTGAAGCTGACTGACTGAGTCAGTGGTGAAGGGAAGGGAAGGTGTTTGCTGCCTGAAGGAGGGAGGCTGAGGAGGAGTGCTTAGGAGGTGGCTAAAGGAGACGGTTGCAGTCCATCCCTGGCTGGCTGCTTGACTGACTGTTGACTAACTGGACTGGACTAGCTGACTGGACTGACAGTCCCACTGACTGACTGGCTGGTTGGCTGACTGACTGACAAATTGAATGGCTGAATGACTCATTGACTAGCTGGCTGGTATGCTAACTGCTTGCATGACTGACTGACAGACTAGACTGGCCTGAGCAACTGACTGGCTAACTGACTGGACTGAATTAGCTGATTGATTGACTGACCAACCAACCAACCTACTGGCTGGCTGGCTGGCTGCTTGACTGAACTCATGGACGGACTGACTGACTGACTGACAGACTGGACTAGATTGGCCTGAGCAATTGACTGGCTAACTGACTGGACTGAATTAGCTGATTGACTGACCAACCAACCCACTGGCTGGCTGGCTGGCTGGCTGCTTGACTGAACTCACGGACTGACAGACTGACTGACTGACTGACTGACTGGTTGGCTGCCTGGCTGATTTATTAACCCATTCGCTGGCTGGCTGGCTGGCTGCTTGACTGAACTCACGGACTGACTGACTGACTGACTGACTGGTTGGCTGGCTGGCTGATTTATTAACCCATTCGCTGGCTGGCTGGCTGGCTGCTTGACTGAACTCACGGACTGACTGACTGACCGACCGACTGACTAACTTATATTAACCCATTGGCTGGCTGGCTGTTTGACTGAACTCACGGACTGACTGACTGGCTGGCTGGCTGACTGGCTGATTGGCTGGCTGACTGATTTATTAACCCATTGGCTGGCTGGCTGGCTGCTTGACTGAACTGACTGACTGGATGAATGATATATTAACTCATTGATTGACTGGCTGGCTGCTTGACTGAAATGATTGACTACTAACTGGATGACTGATGTATTAACCCATTGATTGGCTGTCTGGCTACTTGACTGAACTGACTGACTACATACTGGATTACTGATGTATTAACCTATTGATTGGCTGGCTGCTTGACTGAACTGACTGCCTACTAACTGGATGACTTATGTATCAGCCTGTTTGTTGGCTGTCTGTCTGGCTGCTTGACTGAACTGACTGAGTACATACTGGATGACTGATGTATTAACCCATTGATTGTCTGGTTTTTTTTTTTTTTGTCATGTCAGGAGCGACTTGAGAAACTGCAAGTCGCTTCTGGTGTGAGAGAATTGGCCGTCTGCAAGGACATTGCCCAGGGGACGCCGGGATGATTGATGTTTTTATCATCCTTGTGGGAGGCTTCTCTCATGTCCCTGCATGAGGAGCTGGAGCTGATAGAGGGAGCTCATCCGCCTCTCCCCGGATTCGAACCTGCGACCTGTCAGTCTTCAGTCCTGCCGGCACAGGGGTTTAACCCACTGCGCCACCGGGGGCTCCTGTGTTTGGCTGTCTGGCTACTTGACTGAACTGACTGAGTACATACTGGATGACTGATGTATTAACCCATTAGCTGGCTGACTGGTTGCTTGACTGAACTGACTGACCAACTGACTGGATTGGACTGCGTAACTGATTAATTAGATTGATTGGCTGAACTGACTGACTGACTGACTGGACTGAACTGTCTGGATTGAACTAATGACTGACTGAACTGAGTGAGTGAGTGCGTGAATGATTGAACTGACTGACTGACGGAACTGACTGACTGGACTGAACTGTCTGGATTGAACTAATGACTGACTGAACTGAGTGAGTGAGTGAATAACTGAACTGACTGAACTCACTGAATAAATGACTGACTGATTGACTGACTGAGCTGTCTCACTGGACTGGACTGAGTGAACTGTCTAACTGGGCTGAACTGGGTGTTTGACTCCCTGGACTGGACTAGTTGCCTGGCCGACCGACGTCCCGGCTGGCTAGTGAGCAGGTTGAGTGGGCTGCCTGCCTGCGGAGCCTCCCCGTCGGGCGGAGGGAAGGAGGGAGGGGGAAAGGGAGGACCGCGACAGCCTCGCCCTGCTTCTGCCTCTGCTTCTCACTCGGAGCGCAGCCTTTGAGCGCGGAGGACGCGTCGAGGGACGGAGGGAGGGAGGCGCGCCTGCCTTGCCAGTGTCCCGGGCAGCCCCATGGCCGGGGAGAACGGCACCCTGTCTGCCTCCTCCTCGTCGTCGTCGTCGTCGTCCTCCCCGTCGTGGGCAGGGGGCGAAGGCTCCCCGGCGGCGGGGGGACCGTGGCCGGTGTCTCCGGGGTGGAGCGCGGGGCTGAGCTGGGCGGCGGGGCTGGGCCTGGGCGCGGCCATGCTGGGCCTGGGCTGCGCGGTGGAGCT